GAAAGCTGTGTTGGCCTTCAGAATATCATAGCAGGTACAATTGTGACTTAACAGCAAGTCAGCTTAAGAATTAGTAATACCCATTAATGTCTACAAGTCACTAGAGGGAGGGCTCACTAAACACAGGTCTTCACTCATTTCTTTTGTAAAGAGACACAACTGGCTAGGTTAGCAGCTACAGGCTCCACCCAAGGAACTTCTTTATTCAAACAGGCAATCATGATAAAATTACTAATCCCTTTCTTTCACAAATTTTATCAAACAGAAAAGTCATTTAACCTTGACTTTTTTATACTAGGTACATTACAGACATTCAACATACCAGTACTAATTCATAATAGAAACCTGACAAACTTCAGAAATAATAAGCCTGGTAATGAATTACTAAACAAGTACAATAGAAATTATCAAAAAGACAAAGTTGGAATAGATATGACAAGTGAATAAAAAGCTTAAAAAGAAGAAAAAAAAAAAAACAACAATACTTGGACACAGGAAAACTTGAAACATTTCATAATACAAAATGGTTCTAAATAATCACTAAATCATTGCAAACTTGCAATTTTCCAAGTGGAAGCATTTATCCAATATAAAATAAATACTGTAAATGCAATTTAAAAGTCAACAGTAAAAGATTGAAACAAATCACGTTATATCTGAAAATATCTCAAGTATTCAAATGTGTATAATGATATACTGGTAATAATTAACTGAACAAAAAATGTCCTACCTTTTGCTTCTGTCCAAGATTACTTTCATTTTCATAATCTAATATGTAAAAGTATAATTCTCTATCTTATTTTAAAGTTTAAAAGGCTAACAGTCTAAAAAACATTTTAAGAAATGAAAAACCTAAAAGGTTTCATCAATTTTCAATACAAAAGTCTATAGCTACAAAAAAATTGAAACTAAAAAATACTTTATACATGAAGTTCATTTAAAAAGAATTACCAGCTATGTCTAACACTAATATTTTATTATTTTTTTTTAATCCAAATGTTTTACCTGTTGTTGAAATTACAGAGAATGAGTCAACTCAAACTGAAGTAAAAGGGGAAATATTGTCAATTTTAGGATAACCTTCCTAATTACACTACCATTAAGAGAGCATAATTCAAGATCTTGGATTACATAGGCATTGCTACTACACATTGATCATGTGTAGTAGTAGTACATAGTCAACAATAGATAATGAATCATTTTATACTGAGCTACTTAAGGATTTATTGCTGAAAACACATTAACTACTAATGAGTTCCTATAACAAGTTTAAATAGACACAGTTTCTATAATTTTGCATTAGAAATACACTGCTCTATAACAACCGGTTTAATTTTAAAACAGATTCATATTTTTTATAATTATTATTGTAAACACATTTAAAAGGTTAGCAATTTCAATTCATTGATAAAACAGTATTCCTCCAAAACTACAATGTTCCTTCAGCTTCTAAATTTTAAAAAGACTACTGAGCAACGATATTTCAAAGAGTAAAATAATAACCAGGGAATATTGTTACTCCACTGAAGTATGACAACACCCACAAACCTTAACATGACATGAAAAACAGGTTAAAATATCAATTTATTTAGGAGAAAAAGAAAATCAATGATTCCAAAATTTCACACACCTGTTTACTGTCAAACAATTAATGACAATGTTTAGTAAATCATACATATCTACTTTATATCATTTATCAGACTAATTTAAATAAATTGGCCAAAAAATATATTAAAACATATACAAAATAATAACAGGTTTGTCTTTCATATAAAATATAAATCATATATAAATCTAACAAAGTAACAAAGCAAATAGAGCAATATTACTACTTACATATCTTAACTCTTAAATATTTTTACTTCATAATGGCAAATAAGTTTTCAAATAGATACACCAAATTTTAACTTAACCCAATAATCTATGATTGTCACTAGCATCTGAACTTATTTTAACAACTGATTAAGTACATGCTAAGTAGAAATGTTTGTTTAAAATATGCAGATTTTTTTTCAAGAACATGCCAACTGCCGTTCACTAATAAGATATGTTTGATTGCATATAAATGTCATTTGAGATACAGATGGGATTTACTTAACATTTCCTACAATAGAAGGTTTGACTCAAGGTCATGATTAATATAGTCTCTGCACACATATATGCATCTTTATACTCTTTGGATGCTTCAGGTATTAAGTGTAATGCTTGTGGGAAATACCCCTTAAAACTGATTATTTATCGATATAAAGGCACAATGTAAACAAGTGTAAATCAGAAATAAGGTATTTTATATTATTATAAAAAAAAATATTGAAGTCTTTGTATATAAATTGAATAAATTTCATTGTTTTACCAAGTTAAAATTGGTAAAATTGAAGTTATTTCAAATTGAAAAAATGTTTACAAATAGCAAAATTAGAATTTTTTTTTTATACGAACTTTGATAAGAGACAGTAATTTATAAAACACTTTTTACTTTTATGACAAATGAAACGGTTACATCATAAATTAGAAAAAATGGCTTATTATTATATGATTATTCTAGTCACATTTATAATTAACAATCAAAAAGAAAAAACTGAAAAATCAAATTAAGGAAGGTTCGTTTTTTTTGTTTTTTTTTTTTATCCATGTAGAAAAAAAAAATTTAAAAAATTGTAGGATTTTTTTTCAAAAATTCAAAAATCAAAAGTATACCTTTTAGAAAAGTAAAGTTTAATACGAATTAAAAAAATGTTAACACGGTAATTGACAAACAAAATAAAAATACTAAAGAAAAAAGACGTTTTTAATATAGAATTTAGTGCTCTATGTAATAAGAAAATACTTGTTTTTAAAATGAAACGGACTCGGAATTAAATCAATACGCAAGTTGCGCTAACAAAAAATACAGCTTTTTTTAAAACACAAAAAAGATGCACAAACACTTTCGTGCTGTATTAAAAAAAAATACAATTATTTCTTATTTGAATCATATTGCAAAAGTTTAGTAGTTCTTAAAATTAAGTATACTATTCTCCCTATAAAAGACATGACCACGGATAAAATTAGGCAATTTGCTGAGCCTTGTCTGTGGTGGTAGTAGTAGCAGCTGGGTTTCATTTCATGCGGGGTTTCAATCAGCAAGACCTGGTGGCTGGAACAAAACAACTACATAGACGTAATCTAGTAACAAATAACCTGACAAAAATAAAATACTTTATAAGCAGGAGAGGTTTTAAATGAATTGACAAATAATGTCAGTCCATGTGCAAACGAAGACTACACATGTACTACCCGTCAAATACATGAACACGTGAAAAAAAAATAGTGGACAGAATAGTTAGTACTGTATTTTTCTTTGCCAAGATGTTTGGAAAATTAAGGTGAATAATTATAAGGTGAGGAAATAGTAATTTGTATTCGACACTCAAAAGTTAGAGAACTCGCTCTTAAGCTAATCAACGTGTTTCAGTTTAAACAAACGAAATTGAATTTTAAATACTGAATTAAAAAAAAATAATATGTAAAAGTAAAACAGTAACAACAACAAAAAAAAGTGATCGGAGTTTAAAAGAAAAGAATAAGCAATTTCTAAAATTGTGGTACAATGCACCCAAAAATATAAAAACCGAGAAATAATGTTATGATTGATATTTTGGATCAAGAAACGACATTTTAAAAAAAGGATTACAATACTTGCAAATGTGCAAATCCAATTCATAGGACAAGCAGATAAAAAGTCAGTCTTCCTAAATTTTTTTTTTAAATAAAAAAATAATGAAAATGCTTCACAGAATTTACAAATCAGGGAAGTTAGTCATTACAATGATCAGTGGTCTGAATGAAATAAAATTTAAGTCTGAAAGTTTATTTTTGAAGAATAATGGAAGTGGTAAACAGGGTGTTAAATCAAAGTACTTTATTCTTCTTCTAACCAGATTGGCTGTCTAATTTACAAAAACTAGTGTCAAATTTGGTGAAGCATTTGAAGAGGGTGGACCAGAAAATTTTCAAATGGGTCGACCTTTTTAGTGTCATTGAAAAGTTCAGGTCATGAGACCATTATTATCACAAGATTCACAAAAAAATAAAATATAAATCTGTGATTTTTAATCAACGACAGTGTTCTTTCTTTTACTTCAACACTTCCTAGTTCTATTCCCAATGAGAATTTAAGCCTATGAGTTTTTTCTTCTTTTAATTTTTAAGGGCCATTTCTCATTTCTTCCCTATTAAAAAAGAGGGAGTTAATTTAACTATTTCAGCTTAGGTTAAGAAAAATACGAAGGAATAGGTTTACTTTTGAGAATTTTTTTCTCAATTACTCCACTTTTATTTTTGAATAAATGGAATTAGGACCATTTTCCTCCAATTTCCATCAATATTTTCCACGCTGACCTCAGACAAACAATTAAAATCAAATATTTTAAAAATGTAAGTTAAAAAACAAAACGGGAAGAATAATTATTAAAGGTCCTCATTGAATTTTGATTAAAAAAGAAATTTTACAGATTATAATTAAAAAAAAACGTTTAAAAAGGTAATATTCACAAATCTTTCAAAATATATCGGGTTGATAGAAAAAAAAAAAAAGGATGAAATTATATTTATAAATATATTCCCTCTCAATTTCATACTTAGTAAATCACATTTCTTTTGACATTTTAATTCTATTGCACTTTTTAATTAGAAATCGATATAAGATTTTTACTTGTCAGAAATATTTTTTTATTGTTTAACATAACATAATCACCATTTGGCAGAAAAAAGATTGCATGCTACATTTCACTTCAATACTCATAAAAGGCAAGTGTGTCGTGAAATCGGGGTCTGATTTAATAAAGACCAATAGTTTCAAATTGGTCCCTCACTTCATAGCAATTTTGCTGCAAGAGATGTAAAGGGACACAGTAAAAACCGGCCCCACCCTTCGAAAAAGATACCCAAAAAGCGACGGAGACGAGACGAAAGTTTTTACATTTAAAATTTCAGGCACAAGAGAAGGCGTTAATAAATACCTTTGACCTGATACTTCGTCATCTTCAACGTCAGCGTCGACGGCACTCTGATCAACATCTAAGTCAGAGCTCATGTCATGCAGGGAGTCGGCGTCCGCCATGGCGAGATCTTCAACATCACATCAGCGAAGGAGGAGGAGGGAAACAACGGAAGAGAGGTTATTGTTCGCTAATTTTTGAGGAACAAGTATTCTTCCTTTAAGTGTAAATTTAATCCAGTCTTTTTTTTGAAAAAGCATATACTGTTTAAATCAGAAAATAAATTTTAAAGGAATAATGTGCATAGTTTACTTAACACTAATTTATGAGTTATCTCCCTTCGTCCAATCTGGGTTGACTAATTCTGGAAAATTTCACTTCCGCTTTTTGCCCATATCCGGTTTAAAAGAGGGTTTTAAGATTGCGCATGCCTAAAGTTACCTAGCAACCTCACCAGAATCTTAATTATTATAATGTACAAAATACTTGTCTTCTCTTTCAGATCTTAAGCATCTCTCAGTTGATATTATTTTGCAAAATTAAGATTTACACAAAGAGTAAAAAAATATAAAATACAACCAGACAGACACCATATCTGAAATGTAATCAATCAGGAATACCTCTGTCCATGAAAAGTACTTTAAAATCATTAATTAGAACAAAAAAAATCATGTGTTATAGATAAATTTTGATTTGTGGTTACATAGGTTTACAATACTTCCTTGTTTGGCTAGGATTATTGCAGTTTAAGGAGTCTGCCCAAGTTATATAAGCTGTCAGTATTCATTTGTGTGTATGTCATAATCATAAAGCTTAAGGGGTGTTGAGTTTTGAAAACACTTTATTATCTAACAAGAAAACTAAACCTATAATAAAAATTGAAAATTGTCCTTGGGAATTATGGTATTTAAAATTTACTTATTTAAATAAACTCTTGATGGGATTTTTAACTCGCATCCATTTCTTGCTTTAACTATTGAACTATGAAAACTTAATAGCTTTACAGAAAACCAAATGTAATCTTTAACACTCCATTCTAAGAACAGATAAGGCCCCAAAAGATGTCAATCTTTTGGGGCCTAATCTGTTCTTAAAATGTAAACACTATCCCCATGGCAGATTGTGCAAGTCAAATGACTTCAGAATTTCAGTTGTATTCGTTTTTGGGTTTTTTTGTTTTGTTTCAGGTCACTATATCTCCACAAGTGGCACAAATTACTATGAGTGTTTTCATCAAAATAATGGTTAATGTTTAATTATGTTTTATCTCAATAGATTTCTTTGCTCATTAGCATACCAACTAGTTTTGAATTCTGAGTTGTCTTGCACCTAGTCTGGTTGCTAACCAAGGCTAAAGAGGCCAATCCACCCTAATCCATAGCTGGAGAAGAAGAGATGGATTCATACCTTTCCCAAGAATGTTTCTGTGAATGTGAACAAACTTGGCCAGAATTCAAACTCAGCTCACCAAATTCTTTCAAAGTTACTGTTACACTACCTGTGCATCCTATTAGAGTAAAAATAAAAACAGTTATGTTAACCTAAGCATATCTGTTTTTATTTTTACACTAATAGTATTAGTACAATAGCGTAGCTAGAGTGGGGCAGTCCATCTCAGGAAGCACTTTTGGGTCTGCTTTATAAGGCTATATTGAAATAAAAGTAGCTTTAATGTCAGGACAATACTCACAGTTGAAGGACCTTTTCAATTTCATGTAACTTAAATTATGTCATATGTATTTAAGCACTTGTTATGTTGACTAAACAATAAACATTATCCAGTGATGAATTCAGGGCTGTTTTATCATTTTTAACAATGTAAAACCTGTGAACAGACTTAGTGTGTGTACTTTTAATGATGCAACACTGCTGTATGTGGGAGACACATCTTAGTTGTTATCATATAAATTTCAGTTATTTTCTTTGATAGAAGTTTGTTTGAGGTATTACTCTATTTTTCAGCCTGTTTATAGTTTATATATATATATATATATATATATATATATATATATAATGACAAACAAACATTTAAAATGACCATAGGTGATATTTTATTTCATTGAATCTGATAAAACATGGCTTCAAATCCTCAGACATGTAAACCAAATGAAGATGGAAAAATTAACTTTAGGTTTAAAAATTAATAGTGATTTCATATAGGGAGTAGGGGAAAGAAAGATATTAAGTTATCATCATATAGGCAGAGGGGAAAAGAAAATGGTCTCAGTTGTATTAACATCAATGGTAACCTAAAATGACATTTGGATTGTAGACAAAAATTGTTACATTAAATTAGCATTGTTTTATCAGTTTCAATGAAATAAAATATCACCTATAGTCTTTTAAGTGTTTGTCATTATATAATAATTTTTGCTCTGTCTTTTGACATAGAGCTCTCAATGGATCTATATCCTCTTGGAAATTCCATAGATTACTATATTATTATATATATATATATATATATATATATATATATATATATATATGGTAAAAATAAACTCAAGGCCTGCTCCAGGCAGCACACCACACGTTCTAGCTATGCCACTTTATTAGTAGCAAGTACTATTATACTAGTATTAGTCATTTATTAGATGAAGCATTGTCACTCAACATTATTAATTTTGACTAGTATTTATTTTCATCTTTGTTTTTTAATTCCTTCTTATTGCACAAAATCGGAGAGTTTAACCCTCATTTTCCCTCCTGCATTTTTGACTCACTAGATTGTTGGCCTATTGAGTAAAAATACAATAATAAAGCAAAATCAAAATAAAAGTAAATAGTAATTAAAATGAATAATGTAAATGTTTGTTTCCTGAAAACAAACCCACTTTAAAATGTTTCTCTTCAAGAAAGTTCAGGTAAAAACAATAGATGACTATAGGAGAATCATATACATGATAGCTTTCTAAGCTTTTGCTTTTGTAACTTTCTTGTGATATTATTCTCATCATATTTACAAAGATTTTATTTACTTTGGACAGCCTATCATTTATTCCTATCTTACCTTTCAAAAATATGATATCATCTTCAGATAGATGAACTAGGGACTGGAAAGAAGGCGATACTCTTGCCAATATACCAACTAATAAAGGACTTTTTATAATGATTTCCAGATAGCCCTCTCTGCAAAGCAGAATGTTATAACTACAGTGCTGGGTCTGTGAAGTTGATTAGGATGTGACCTATTTGATTTAGCTGCAAAGAGACTCAGGAAGTAAATGAAAAGTATATACAACTTTCCTTAAATACAAGCAAAGTGAATCAGAAAAGGCACCAATTTTAGAGATACTTGATTCAAATTTTGAATTCTAGAAATATAAAAACACATGACATCATCTTTGTTCTTGAGAATTGACAACAAAAATAATAAATATTTATTAAATTGTTTATTGACACTATTTATTATGTTATTTATTGGAATAATTGGCAAAACACCAGCTAATTGCCAAACTTTATAATAATAATGATGATTTCCTTATAGTTGGTTCACATATTTTAATAATTTAGTAAATGTTTATAAATTTATGAATAAAAATCATTTTCACATTTATTTCTTTATAAATTGCTAAATGATAAATATTGCATTAGTTCTAATTGTATTAATTTTTAGAATGTTGTAAATATAAAATTACTCTTGTAAATAAACAAACTAATAAATAAATAAAATGGTGTTAAATATTTTTGTAAATTCTCAAGAAAAAATGTATAAATTAACTTTCATCATATGTTTAGGTTTTATTCCAATTCTAATCATCACCTTTTAAAACAATAAACACTGACAAAGTTAAAAAGGTAGTTAAAAAAGCAGTGTCATGGAAAAAAACTGTCTCTTTCAGACTATGTCTTATCATGTGCACATTTGTCCATGTTTGCCCAAATCCTTTTAGTTCATCCCAAGTATAAGGTTTACTATGTTTTATATTGTACTAGCTACATTTGATGATATAAAGCAAAATATAGCACTTGCCTCAACTGCTTTTGTAAGGATAAAAGAAGACATTCCACACTAAATCAATGCTAAGCTCTACTATGCTCTGATTATCCACATACCAATGTATATCTATGAAACCTGAACATTGAGAAAAGTGGGCATGCAAAGGCTATCAATCTTCAAAAACAACTGCCTCAGAGACATGGTTTGGAAAAATATCAACAACAGAATCAGAATATCTGCCATAAGGAAAAAAGCTAGATGCAAAGCCTAAGATAATTACACTGATTAGGAGGAGGCTAAACTGGTTTGGTTATGTAATTGGAAGAGGAAAATGAAGATTTGTGTATAGATCCTACAAAGACAACTTTCCTAGCAAAAGGATTATGTGGTAGAACACCAAAGAGATAGGAAGAACAAATCAGAGAGACCACCAGAATGACACTTCTGGCACTTGAAAAGATTGCCTTGCATAGGAAGAAATAGCAAAGTTGTGTAGACAAGAGTGTAAGGATCTCTATAGAATTAAGCAACTAAGTATATATACATATAGCAATTTCTTGTTTCTCTTTTCAATGATATATTACATTTTCACTCAGCATTATTTATCACTGTACTATACTTTGTTCCTAACATGTTAATGTTTACCTTACTCAATGCAAAGCCACTATATATAACATTCTCATATATTTCTGATGTTACTAACAGTAATTCATTTTAGAAGACCACAACTCAAATAAGGTGTATATGATGAAAAGAAAATTTTATTGTATATCTGACCAAAGGCTCTATGGTTTTAATGCATAAAGTCTCAGACCAGTAGTTTAGAAAAGAATCCTTATCTTTGAACAGTTCATTCCTGTTTATCCTACACATGGATTTTTGAATTTTGTAGAAAGGACTATATATACCATTATAGCGTGTTAGAATCTTTGATCAACATGGACATTAGCCCCAAATTGCATTCTATCTGCAAGATTAAGTCAATTTTTGATATTACAATATCTGCACTGAAAAAAATTGCATACCTGACAAGAGTCTTATTTTACTGCCAGGAGGATGGTTGTGCAATGTTTGTAATCTGCATATCTTTTCTTTACTATTCTTCAATTTCTTGATCATCTTTATCAAACCAGTATTAGTTTGTCTTTATGGAAAATCCTAAGGTTTACAGGATGATAGATGAAT